CACTTTTCATCGCATAATTTCATTTTGGGAAGCTGGAAAACAAGGGCTACTCGAGACACTGCATTAAAAATGAATGGTCAAGAATCAGCAAACTAGAGCAAAATTGAACGCTTCATTAAAGGTTCTGTAAAACTTGTTAATTTACCAAATATATATTAACTGAAATATGTAAAATTTGCAGCAACTTATGTCTGTTTCATACACACACGAACAGGTAGATTTCAATTAACAAAAATTAAATAATGGGCATCAAAAATGGATACCGTTCTTGTCAACAAGGACATACAACAAACAGTTTATATGAGCGATAATTCAACAAATTATCACTGATTATGTTTTTTTGACTTTAAGATACATAGCAAATTTGATAGACATCATTTAGGGGATGTTCACACTGTTTTAAAGATACATTTCATGGTAAAAAAGTTAAATACTCAAAGGTCACCCTATATTTTTAAAAATGAGTAAAAACGAGGGCGTGTAGAAAATCTAAACAATTATTTAAAAAAAAAAACAAAAATTGTTCTAATCCTCGTTTTTCTGAAATTCAAAAAGATCATGAAACTTGAATCCATTTTGCGTTAACCCCTCAAAACAAATTTAGAATAAGATGTACTTGACAAAACTGCAAAGGCCCGAGAAGAGCAAAAATTTGCAAGGACACACAAATAGTTTTATACGCTATTTTCTTAAATATTATCGGTCTTTTTGTTCAAAGTCATATATAGGGAGACAGTTCAATTTCTGGAGGAGTCTAGTAAGCAAAATATTCGCCCAAAAATTGAAAGGTGTATTAGAGAAAGGAAACAGAATGAGGAATTCACTACATTAAATTTCTTCATGACAGCGTCCAAACCCACAGGCCATGAAGATTAAAGTTGTTTTGGGATGAACAGAAAGTTAATGTTTTGTCACATCAACAATATTCGCCAGATCTTTCAACCTTTGTCTTGCTTCATTTCCCAAACTTAGGAAAACACCTTTCAGAAAGAAGACAAGTACAGCAAATTATAGGATCTGCCATTTTCCAGTATGCGAAGGGTCATACTCAAAACTGTGTTCTAAAAACAATTAGAAATTGAATAAAAATGTTACGGACATGTGTTTTAATTAAAAGAGAATAATCTAGTTAAGTCGTGGAGACAAAATCATAGAAAAGCGTTTTTTGTTTCTTTCCGAGCCCCGATGACATTATTTATTGAACGCCCCTCGTATTCATTTCTTTTACTAGTTCTTATCGATGATGCATGATTCTTTAACTTAAACAAATAAATATTTAATTTAAAAAAAAGCAAATGATTTTCTGAAAAAATCTTTTTGGAATCATATGATAGAAAATATGAATTCATTTGAACATTATGTTTAACACAAAAGGACCAGAAGCAAGTTCTAGAAACTTACAATTCTTCTAGTTAATTGTCATTATAATAACATAGTATATTATATTAGCAAGTGACATAAATAAATTTAAATGTTTATTGAATCTTACAGATTCATTAATGAATTTATGAACTGCTGAAAAAATAAAGCCGTTCATAAAATAAGTCAAGGTTTTATTATCCCCTAGCAATATATATGTGTCTTTTAGAATCTTTTCTTCCAGTCTAAAAAGTTTGTCAAAAAGATTATTTCTTGCGTTTATAAAGAAAAAAATTGTTTTCCAGATTTTTTTAAATATTAAAAAATCCTTATTAATAACCCTTTTACAAGTAAATGTGCCATTTAAACTGAGGGTATAAAAATGAAATATATACAGGTATCATGAACAGCTCAAAGACATGAATTTTAACTAAGAAAAAATGTATGTTTATGGTATACGATAGTTTACAGTATGTGCTATTTCTTTGCATTTTAAAATGCATTTAGAAAATTTCTGTTGATATCTAATAGAAGAACATAATAAAATTTTTTAAATAGCTCCAAGAAAAATGATAACAATACATTGACTGACAGGTATTTTCAATACATTTCTTTCACCGATGAAAAAATGCATCCAGAAATTAAATTGACCATGGAAATCTGTTTCTCTTTGTTATTATACGTAATACTGAATATATTAGCAATTTTTCCTATAAAAAAAAATCAATTGGTAAAATGAATTACTTAATATTTATTATTGTATCAATTGAAATAAGTGATATTTTCTTCGAATTTCTAAAAAATAACTTTGAATTTTTTGAAGTCCATAAGAAAAAAAACTGACTTTACACAACAAAATTAAAATCTTTATAATCTGTTTTCAAGCCGTGCAAATTTTAAAGATGTTATCATCTTGACTTCTTAAATTCCAAAAGGTAAATAAACAGAAAGGTTAAGACAACAAAATAAAACTTTTAAAAAATTACATACAAAATGTATGTAAAAAAGATTATATATTTAATCACTCTAACTTACAACAACATTTGAAGATGAGCTTAAAAACGTGACATAATTAGAAATTATAAATCTTCTGTATGCTCAATTCATATAAATTTTAATGAAAATAGTGACTTTAGGTCCAATGGACAGGGTGCAGTATTGTTTTATATTTATTTTGGTTACATTATATAACTTGCAATGTTTATAATGCACATTTACACTATGATAAACAATTACTTATTTAATCAATGTTGATTAAAGGTGAAGATAACAAACATACAGTGATCGATCTAAAAAGTAAACATATAACACTACAATTTTGTAAAGAGGACATAAAAACGGACCCAAGAAAAACCCAGAGGTGGGATCAGGTGCCCATGATGAGTAAGCTTCTCTATTGAGTTGTCATTCCTGCCTAGAGCCCTATGGATTGATTAGGAAGACGGGACTTTTCGTGATAAATTCGGTGTAATAACAAAGGTCTAACAATTCGTGTAGAGCGAGTCAGCCAAAATATGACCCTATATTATAGGTTATATTTGCTAAAAAGGTGATTATAACGACCACATTAAATGACTTTTACAACGTAAGTTAAAACACTTAAAGTTGTCTTAAATGATTTTGAAAAAGTCTTTGTGAGAAAGAATTTTCAGTCTTCATAAAAGATATATGCTTTCAAAATTCTTTATTATCTTATTATCTAGCTATTACCGTGGTAGGGCTAAATCGTTTTGAAATTAATCAGAATTGCTTACATGCATGAAAATGGGTGTTGTGTTTTGTTTAGACTAAAATTTCCTTTGCAAAAATCAATTTTAAAAAGAGCATTTTTTGGGACTGAAGGATATTTATAATTTATTTTAAAGTGATTTATAAATTATTATTTGCTGTACTCATGGAATGAATATGGCAGAAATTTAAAAATGTTTATGTCAGAAGGGTTTTGAAAACATGCATATACACAAAAATCAAACTAGCTCTAGATCTGGACTTAAGATTTTATTACATGTAATTTTAATGATATATCTCTATAATGGATTGTATTAAATAAATTTTGTTGCGAAGAAGTGTGAAATTATTCATAAATCATTTGGTATTTTCATGTATTGAAAATTTACTTTTTATTCTTTCTTTATGTATGAAAACATTGCAACACCTAATTTACTAACCATTAAAAAAACTTTGACATAAATGTAATACTGATAACATTTTTTATGAATAATTGTGAATTTCATTGCTTAAATGATTTTCATGTAAAATCCCTTACGACCTGTTAGACAGTGTTCAGTGTAGATATGTCTTGCTGCAAGGAGTGGGTAAAAAACTGTAGAAAACTAATGCTTCAAAAGTCATATTTATTCAGTTGGTTAAAATAAAATGAAACAATTTTCCAACTAACATGTTTTTCAATGGTCCCCATTCCCATCTTTTCAACATTATCTGCTTTACCCAATGTTCTAAAAGAAATTATATATCACAAGAACAAGCATTGTTATTTAATGTCAGTGCTTAGTCGGGCATACATGCAAGTAGCGTATCATAATATACATTAATCATATATTTTGTCGGGTTATCGTATGCCCGACAATCTTTTGTCGGAGGGGTTGTTTGGTTTGCTGAAGTTTTATAACAGATACTAGTACACATCCATTACCAATCAGCATTACTTTTATTTAAATTTTAAATTTTTAAGTTTATCATTACTAAGGCCAAGATTTTATTCCTTCCGTATTATCTTATATCGTGCTTTTCCAACATACTCAATACCTATAATCTTTTCATGAGTTGGAAAAACATGCGAGATTTCACATTTTCCCAATGATAGCTTTCTTTTATTGTTTTTTTTCTCCATGAAAACGGGATTCCTCTAAAAATACAAAACAATGTCATACCTTATGAGAATTAATTCTAGTAAGTTCCATTTTCCATTAATTTTTTAGAAGATGTAACATTCTGAAATGACTAAACTTTGAATGCTTTTTGGAGGAATAGCTTTTGGTTGGGGTATTCAGTGCATGTTGCGTACCAAGTTGGTCATTGCGTCCATATTTCACAATAATTACACATCTTGGTTATTTAACCATGAGAGCGTGGTCTGATCAAAGTCATGCGTTTGGGTAAAAGCCTGATATTTAGAAATCTTGCTGAGGCGGTTCATGAATGATAAAAATTGCTTTCATTCTTTGGCAAAATTGCCTGCAAAATCCCCATGATAAATATTTAAAACGTACAATGTATATAATAAATTTAAAATTGGCAGTTAAAAGTTATAAAGGTCTTATTGCGATATTGAAGCATTGCATTATATTTTGCAATTTGACTACATTCTAGAGATTCTTCAAAGTTCAAGATGCCAATAACTTTCATCATTACGCATTGTTTTAAAAACAATTTCAGTGTACTGATCAAAATATGACTGGCTTTTAAAATTTATTGTTTTTCAAAAAATTTCAGCAAATGACGATCATGATTTATACGTTATTTTACTTTAACAAATTGACGAAACTGTTTTACGTCGTTGCAAAACTATATTTTGGCGTAATTTTAGCGAAGACAAGTTTTACTTTCAATAGATACAGTTATTATCATATGCTTGGATAAATTTAATAACTTTCGATAAGGAAAACAAAGAAACAAGTGAATACTTTTGGAAATAAACTTTATTGCTAATTAGAATAAATCCATTTGCCTGAAAGTATAATGCAACCTTTCTGTTGCAAATGAACACTAATATGCAAATAAGCGAGGTATGTCTTGGTATAAAACTTTTGTTTAACAAAGAATCTCAAACATATCTGAGTTTCACGTAACAAAATCTCTGTTTTGAACAGGAAACTAAAAAAAATCTATTTTATAAAGCTTTGCCTTTGCATCTTTCACACTGAAAGAAAATTAATCTTTTACAAATTTTCACAAATTGTTCGTTTTCACATTTGTCATATACACAAAGAAAGATACAAAACATATATTTGCGGTAGGTAATGCAAACAAAAAATCGGTAGCAATAATAATCTTTCTTTCTTCATTTCAATAAGTTAAACAAGAAGACAAAATGCATTTTATGACATTACTTAAAAATAAAAAAAAAGATCAAGAGAAAAAAATGAAGCCATACAACATTATTTTCTTTCATGAACAAGTACACATAATGGTTACATAAGGATATACATACATTTTACAAATATATAGAGCATTTGTAAAAAGAGGAGATAAATTAACCACGATTACGATATGAAGGAATGTCGGATGTGGTAACGATGTCTTTGTGCGGTAGCTGTGGATTTCAGAGGCTGCGACATTGAGCACTGACTAGTCACCTAACTATATGGGGATTTCCTGAGCACTAACTTTACTGGCAAACAAGAAAACATGGTGTTTCCTACTCTCCCAGATTGTTACTTCTACTGCTTCAAAAAGCAAGTAAGTTCAACCATTTCCTTTTGCAAATTCATCAAGCCATTTATCAGTATCACGTAAGAGCTTTTGCCATGTTGATTTGATCGTCAAGTTTAGACACCATATTTGATGAATCTCTAATCGTGACGTCATTGCAGTCCTCGCCAGTACTGTGACGCCATCGCACCCATGTGATGCGCGCTCATATCTGGTGGCCCCCCACCTGGTACTTGAATAGGAACCGACACACCTGGAGAAATCAGTCCTGGAAATTAATGAGATTTTTTTAATGAAAAATAAAAATTACCAACAGAAGGTAATGTCTTTCTTTTTCTTTTATTCCATTTTTTGCGAAAGTGAGGCAATGAATTGCTTCAAAATAAGTAAAACAAAAGAAAGCAAAGACATCTGATTAATAAGATAATGTTTAAACAATTTTACATGCAAAGACAATCACCTAGTAGGAGGAGAAATAGATCTGCTCACCAGTAGAGGCCGCTGATGCGTGGTTATTATGGGTCATGTGACCTTGCATGCCTGCTGCGGGGTTACAAGATGGACGGGAATAGTTGCTTAGTGATAATGGATCATAACTTCGAGGTGCGTATTCTGCAAAGAGCACAATAAAAAAAAAATCGTTGAGACAATCAAAGATTATCCGTGCAAAGTGAGACAACTCCTGAAATTTTATATACATGTATTGTACAAACGTTTTTCATAATGTGAATTGAAAATATTTTTGAGATCTAGCAGAAAAAGTATTTCATTTTATCGATTCAAGCAGAGATTGATACTTATTGAGCGCCCTTACCTGGGATCATACATGAGTATGAGGTTGCGTTGTTTGACTGTAAACATGCTGGGTTGGTTGGGATGTTATTGCTGGACAAAGAATAGGAAGGCATGGTCGGCATTGAGCTGCAAAAAAAAAACGTCAAACATTCATAATTAATTACAAATATAACACTAACTTTAAACAATAATTCTTTTAACTTGATGGGCGTCATTTTCATTTTATTCAGCTGAATTCGAAACATTTCACATGATACATGTATATATTCTTCACATTCACCTGTAAAAAGTTCCAATTTTCATCATTGAATTGCCTTTCCCTCACCCTGTCCTAAAAGTGTCCAGTAAGATTTTGAAATTTCGAAGCGTTCGATGTAATTACCTGTAAGAGTCGGCCATTGTTCCTATTTGTTGGTGGATTGTGGGATACATTCCGTTTGAGAAGCCTCCATTGATTGGCAGTCGGGTAGCTCCATTTGCTACATCCCTTCTCTGGTTCCGTAACTTCTCTTCTCGTCGCCATTTTGCTCTTCTATTTGAAAACCATACCTGTCAAAAAATAAAACAATTATCCCAGATGATGTTCTTTTTCAATAATAAAATTGTTTTTACATTGAACAGTATAAATTACTCTCCCATAAGTGATTTGGGCAATATTTTATCTATACAAAAATTTGGTTTGAATTACCTGTATACGTGCTTCTGGGAGATCAATTTTTTGTGACAGCCTTTCTCTTGCAAACACATCTGGATAATGAGTCCGCTCAAATTCTGAAATTTTTTGAAAGAATTTAACTAATAAAAAAAAAAAGAGTTGCAAAGAATATCTTTTTAAACTGTCTATTTATTCTTAGTACAAATATTTTATTGTCCTTTTTTCATACCTTTTTCTAGAGCTTCGATTTGTGCTGCTGAGAATGAAGTTCGGTTCCGCTGGAGTTTGCGCTTGAGACGCATTCTAAGTTGCTCGTCTGTTTCATTGTTTTGTCCTTCACTTTGGTTGCTTTCCGATCCCGAACCATCATTATCTGAAACGATTAAAAATTGAAAAATTGTCATTCATTTCAAAATGTTTATTCTGTCAATAGCTAACCTTTACAAGAAAAGTTCATTTGTAATCGGTTGTGTAATCTTAGATAGTAATCAAAAAATTAACTTTAAAGATTGAATTATAAGTTGTCGATTTTATTTTATTTTCAAACTTCTCTTTTATTTTCTCTACGTGCTCGATTCGTGGCTGCACTTGCACTATAGCTTTAACACGCAAGAAACAATGATCAACATGGGTGCTTGGGGGGGTAGCAACACATGTATCAACGTAATTTCAACTATCTGCTTTATCAGATAATAAACAGCTCTGCTTATTAAAGTATTTCAAAAATAATTTTAACAGTGTGTCATAATTAAGTCCATATTGTTCTTATCGCGAAATCTCGAACGTCACGATATGTTGGTAGTCGCATCTGCATTGTCATCTGTTCATGTCGGCCATATTATTTTTTTCATATTCACGTGACCTAACATGGGGCTTAAAGTGATCAAATTAATTACACGGCATTGTGCTTATTTGTTTTCCATTTGCAGTTACATAACCTGACAGCTCTTTCAGGGTAATTTAGACGTATTAACTCTAAATATGGATCGACAATTCATCATTGAATTTTGCATTTTTTTATGTCATTCAGGTTTCTTATTACAGTTTTATGTAGAACATTGTGCATTGTTACGGGGTTAAATGTGTAGGAGATCATTATCACTCTCTACCTGCCCGAGATCGATTTTCATATCGCCATAAAACCATTTATTTCATACACAACATGGGGATTTTTTGTGAGAATGATCTTTTCACTCTCAGGAACTCTCTTGCAAGGGAGATACGAAAGAAATCAAAATTATATTTTCATCTGAGGCTGAAAGGAAAACATTCCCTGTATAAGATCAAAGAGTATGACTCCCATTAATAATTTATAATTGACCATTGAGGTGATTCGAGGGTGCTAAATAAGTTTGATTGCGGTCCACTAATCTGTTCAACTTTGTAAAGAAACCACAATAGGTCATAGAATATTTTCTTTGACCCCCTAGGTTCTCGTGCAACTCCGGAAGTGGAAGTCCAACTGTGCAAGAGCATCATTTCGCTGCTTAAGTAGTTTCACATTCAATAAAAAAATATTTAGGCTATCGTTCCTGGAATGTCCTAGATTATATTGAAGTCCAAGTCGTAATGTGACTTGCGTTGACTTTTTCATCTATAGATAGTATGCTTGGTATTCGGTCTTGCATATTTTTAATTTAAAAAGTTGACATCCGGATATATTTCTGCATGACCGACACCACTCCTTTCTGTAAAGTTATATAATGCATGAGAATGGGGTCTATTCTTGTATATGATATCTATTTTCATATTATGACCAGATAAAGTTGGCTCTCTATTCTCATTTCTGAATAAAAATTCCTTTCATAGTGTAAATCTTGTAGAGTTGTTTTACGTTTTTGCACTGAATGTCCGATACGTAAAATTACAGTGAATCGACTCTCGTTCCACTCCCTAAATACAAGGCGCTCCGCGATGTTGGCTAGCAAATTGTACGACCCAAACAACTGCAACTAGTTTGCCTGGGAATCATCGCCCAAACAGAGAAAGTCGAGTCCGGATTTAAATTCCATGGCAAGCATCGACGCAACCACGTTTTGTTATTGACGAGCAATGGATAGCTATTATTATCCGTAATTATCCAGTTGTAGAATTTTATCAATATCAGAGAAATTGCAATGTTCATGAAATAACATCCACCATTCGCACACGCGAACAACTGTTCCTCTTTCTTTGTTCGTCGTGTTTTGAACAGTTTTGAGTTAAATTCTTCATGTCGCGTAATTACTAACACGTGACATCAATTCGAATCAAACACTCACTTGTTTAATCAACATTGTGTAATATTCTCTATTTTTTCTATTTATTATTTTTTTTTAGTGCATTGTAAAGGCAGATGTGGAATTCCTTAAACTGACCCGGCCTGATCCTGCGTTCTAACCCTTGATCTTCGGATACTGATATGAGGGTCATATCTGCTTTAATCATCACAGGTATATTGTTATTTTTAAATTGTAATAATAACGAGAATTCTTGGCCAATCTGTTGACTGGCGAGTCCCTTCGGGCGACCACTAGGAAACGAGTAGAGACGGACATTTCTTTGTTGACCGTGACGACGCAGACGATGACCGCAACAAGCGCGATCACGTGACACATTTCATCAGCCCGCTCTGGGAGATTTTTTGATTTTGATAAAATGTCTCGAGGGAACTTTTTCACCAAACATAACATATGTCACAATTTCGGCGCCTACACTTTACTTAAAAATGTTTAATTAGAATAAGTTGATTTTTGTGCTGATGAACAGTTTTAATCTTAAAGTTGATAAAATTGTTAGTAAAATAAAATGAAGATAGTAATTTTAGAAATATTCATACTTCGTACGACCATTGGTATAAAGATCTAATGAAACCAGTATGAAGTTTTCTTTTCTCCTTTCAAGATTTGTTGTTTTTTTTTTTTATCGGAATCGAAATTTCATTTTAATCTTGAAATTTAAAGCATGCCACAAAATTAAAATTATTTTTCGCTACTGTTATAATTCGAAACATTAACGAAAAATAGCGACCCTGTATTTCTGATGATAAACTTTACTTTTGTTATTGTTTTGATATTTTTCACGATAAATAATTATCTATAAAGAGTTGCATATTGTTCGAAATTTAGCGATTTGTGAAAGTAAATCGTAAGTACAAGGGAACTCATTCGGTCAAGATTTTATAACAACAAAGCAACACGGATGTCAAAAATCCCGTTTCATTCAGCACACTATCGCATTAGAGGGCTTAATCCCATAATCAAACAGCATAATCACATTTGTATTTTCGCGAAATATTTATCTGCTAATATTAATATCATTTTAGTAAATTATACTTTACACGTCGATCGCCTAATCGCTACACTTGACACCTAGTTTGTGTATTTGGCCGAAGTCTTTGATTCAAAATTATAATAAAATGCTTCATTTAGAAAAAATAAAAACATCTCGAAGGGAATTTGGGATCGACTTTGATACTCGGGGTGTAGGTATTAATGCGCAGCGTCTATCGCTACCAGAACACTGGCGCCTGGTGGAGCGAACTTTTTTCATTGAAGAACTAATATTTTATCGTCCGATTTAGAAACACAACATAAATATTATTCATACGCTAGAGGGACATGTCAGTGTTTTCATTGTAAATCACCCATATATTTGTACCCAGTTGCATGTTTTCATATAACACAAGCGCACGCTTATCTCACACATTTTTTACGTCGAACTGCTTTCTCTTTTAACAAAAATTTGACCAATCCCTAAAGATTGGAAAAAATCCCTATTTCTGACAGGAAAAAAAAGTAAAAAACATTGAATTTCTCAAAGATCTGCCTTTTTCTCATCAATTCCGTCAGAACTTTGTGGTATTTAAAATCTGGATATTTGTAAAGCATATTTATTTTTCATAGGATTAGCTTTAATCCTTGAATAAGCCACCAGACTGACTGACGACTAGGTTCTATTCGTCGCTCGTGTATGAAACCTCCCCCCTTAAATACAGGACGGACAAACCAAGAGAAGTATTTTTCCTCCCGCGGATTATAACCAATGCTTTTTTTCTTCTAACGGAAGAGTGAATGAGGTGACACGTATTGCAATAAAACTACCAACCTTAATCCCACGTGAACAGTCAATTAACTTTGCTACTCTTTTTAACACTTGAATGTGTAAGACTTTCTAATGACATATTTTCTACCTTTCATGTCGACAAGTAAACAAATCAAGTTTTTTCCAGTATTTTCAACGCATAATCAAACATTTGATAACCTTTGTTTTAAAGTAAAAATACTAAAATATAAAATTTACTTTAAAAAAAGATTTTCTTAATTAAAAAATGTACATATAACAGTGATGTAATTTTTTTTACAATAATAATAAATATATTCAATAAGGGAAAGATTTTAATTAATCGCTCTATCTCAAACATGAACGTCTTCTAACAAGACATTTCTCGTTAAAGCAAATCCACTCTTGATACTTTGTTTCGTATAAAAATAGGACGTCTTATAATCAATTACAAGTAATCACAACCAAGCAAGGTGATTATTGGTTCCATTTTTATCCGTTTTTAAAAATCTACAACATTTGTGATTCTTCCATTCACCGATTTCTATTATCCAATTACGGGTCTCTTGAAAAGACCCCGGATTGAATCCGCTAAAATAAAGCGGCGCGTTCAGTTCAGCAGTAGGGCTTCCACATTTGTACATTTTCTCCCTTTCTCCTCTATTCTTTGAAGTTGATTTACTCGCCGTTGCACTTTGATACATTAATATTAATTTATCCGCCTGGCCGCATCTATATTGTTGATTCGATGTGAACGGCTGTATGAATATGAAAAATGAAAAGCGGCATCGACAACGCGATTTTTAATCTAACGTAGGCTAATACAGACGCCTGTTATGATTTTTACACTATCCTCATTGATTTCGACACCTAACGTGTCCGCATGCTTTTACTATGATTGTGGAAAAATACATTTTTGCCTTGTTGGATATTTTTCTCACGTTTTACCATCAATACAATTTGCAATTTTTACAACATTACTATGGAAGCAGCACATTACTATGTGAAGTAATAAACAATTCCGCGTTTGCTGTCAGATTTTTTTTTTTCCTTTATAGAAAATATTTATTTTTACTTATGAAAAAAAAATTATACGGAAAATTTCTCGACAGTAGTTGATGTTCATTAAGTTATTCAGGTAACAGGAATGTCATTGTTTAATTTAACAAAAAAATATTTTGATATTCTGGTTAAATGGATTACACTTCACACGCTTTTAATCTTCTACATAATTAATTTCGTAATTATAACTTACTTGCGAAACATTCATTTTCTTTTAGACAGAAACCTATTAATATTTTTTAGAAAATTTTGTTAAACATGTCCTGTATTTCAAGGGGGAAATGCATTTTCTATAGTAGAAAACCCAAAGACTTAAAAAAAAAATGATTTAATGCTTACTTTTCTTATCCATCCCGAGGGGTGGGGCGGGTTGATGGGTTGTATAGGCGGAGGGAGGGAGACCTGGCACCCCCATGTTCGTGGCATACCAGGGGTTAGTTCGGGGCCAATTCTGACCGTTCAATAGGCCTAACTTGTCGTACATTGCACCCTGTCCCATGACTTTCTGATTCTCGCTGGCAAGATTTCGTAGCACACGGTTAATGGAAGAAACCTGCAAAATATTAATCACAAACTTTAAAAATAACTATAGATTTGCAATAAACTGTGAATTAAAAGTTACCAAAAAATGATCGTATATCTATTCAGCAGATTTTGAAAATGTCTGCCACACATGATAAATGAAGTATTGTATTGGTGCTATGCAAGTCCTAAAGTATATATTTTTAGTCTACAATTATAGGACTTTGAATATTAAAAAATTCAATTAATATATGTATTCCATTTTTATTTTATATTTTTTTTTTTTACCATTTGTTTGGTAGCTAAATAAATAGTAAAATCACCTGGTCTTCTTTTGCAAGATTTCGAAGCACCAGGTTGACGGAGGAAATCTGAAATACAGGAACAACATTTTCAGACACGGTTCACCTTAACCACTAACCCTCAATTTAAAATCAAATTTATTAAATAAATCAAGAATTTAAAATTACAGAATCTTTTAGAATTATAACTTTTTGAATTCCAGCCAATACATTTAATTATATGTGCTATTATTTCAAAGAGGTGAAAATTAATCAAAACCAAAAATAAATTCAGATTACTCGGTGCAGAGCAAGACAATGTGTTCCAGTATTTCAGTAGGAGGAAAAAAGTAGAGATATTTCAGAGATAAACATAAAACTGGAATTAAAATTCAAAGGACTTAAAATACCTGGAAAGAAAAATTATTGTTCTGTACGAATTGATGTCCAATTTGAATTCTTTAAAATTCAATACTTTGTGTACTTGAAAAGTGTATCGTGTAAATAATTACAGAATTTAAGATCGTTTTAAATCAAAAGATACTGTCTTTCTGATAGACAATACCAATGAATATCAAATGATTAGGATCTTGCATTTTACTTAGTATTTTATAAGTTATCATTTCAAACTTTTGTAATCATAGATTTTTAGTGTTATCATATTCAGCCAAACTTTTCATATAATTTTGGAGATCATATTGCAGAGAATGTATCTATATTTGTTTGCGCTGATTTTGCTTGTCCTGTTTGTTCAAATTTTTGTTGAAATTCAAAACCACAAACTTCAGGAAAAAAGGACACAAGTCCAGTTTCCATGGGAATGGGTTGCACATGCGCCCTATTATTGTTCTGTAATTAATCATTATCCCGGCAGGGGCACTCTATGAAATCTTATGAGATCATAACAGAACTCGTGTTTTCCGACGGTTCACGACCGATTTTTAGAGAACTTAGGACGGAAACACAAAATCAAAATGCAAATCAGATGACTCGCGCGATTACTGGTACGGTTTGTGCAACCATGCAGACGTGATTGGATTTGGGGGCCTAAAATCAAGACAGATGTGATAAAATTAATTATCGATAAAATTTGGGGACCCACTTAAATATATGTTTATTATATACAAGAAATCAATTTTCAAATTGGATCTTTTTTTTTTTTTTTGAAAAATTACTATAGTAATTCTACATGAATTTTCAAAAAAATGACACGGACTTTAAGACTTGCTTTATGTCGTTAAAGAAACGGTCTTATGTGATTTGTTATTTGGCTTTGTGGTTAGGGGTATTAAATCTCAATGTATCAAAATTAAAAAAAGTAACACTATACATTGCTAAATGTAACTCAATAAACTGTTTACTCAAGCTGTTGAACTCAATAAAAGGGAAAAATATCGATGTATGAAGTAGTCAATTTCTCCTTTTACTGGACATCATAATTCCAAGAGTAGGCAAACTAAGCAATTGTTAGGGGAATGTCTCAGTGTTTACTCAAAATATTTACAGTGTCATTAAACAAGACGTTGAGACCTCATCCCGACCGACGCAGAAGGGGGAACGAGATTCAATGCAGCTCTTGTAAAAACCCACTATTACCCGGGGGGTGCAAATGATGAAGGCATATGGTCATTACCGGGAATAAGGGTGGATACTCGACCTAAAGCACTTTCAACAAGGTATTGTCTGATGCTCAAAGACCGAGAGACGTTCCCAAGCTCGCTCAAGTGCTCGATGTCTCGCGAGACTTAAAAGAAGGCGGGCGGTGATTGGCGGAGACGAATTATCAGAAGCTTCTATACGAGATTTCTTTAGAAATTAAAGTTTTCTACTGAATATTAACAACTAAATGAATAGAATATTGGAAATATATGAAAATGTCAATTTTGTAGGAAAAAGATTAACATTATTCGGACCTAACGCTCGATTTGGTTTGGTACTTCAATCTTTACATTAAGGTGCCCAAAAATAGAGGATTTTGCTGGCACAGAAAAGAAAATGATGGCTCAAATTAATCAAGCGTCTTTTTTTTCAATATCCCGTCTTTCGCCTGCTTAATTAACAATTCAGTTTGATTAATTTTGGTTAAAAAATTCAACAACTTTTGTTATAAAATAAAATCTCTGTTTTCATTCAAGAACATTAGCACTTAAAGCTAAGTCCTCAAAGCATAGTCCAATACCAACTGCAAAGTTCAACACCCTGTTTTTATCCCATTTAGGACAAAACCTATGTATTTTTATCTCATCTTATAATTCTTGAATTTACTTACTCAAATGAATAAAATGATGCATATTTAACGTCTCTATTGTTAAAGTTATTAACGTTGCGGATTTTTTTCCTTAGCATTTTTAAAACTTTTAAAATATGGTATCGCTTGATAAATTGATTTTAAAATAGGATAATTTCCTTTGGATACAATATCCATTAATCCTCCCCTCTTCGGGAGGAAAAGCCAGCGATCAGGTTCGTCTCTTTGATATTTAGAAAACATCGAAAGCAACCAGATGGGCTTTAGAAAACAAATGTTTGCGAACAGACATCTATTTAGGTAAGCTGCGGGATGCGTTTTAAAACCCTTAACAAATCAAACACACCCGCGGATTCTCCCCACAACCCGCTAGAGAATAAAAACATGGTCTTTGTGATCGTTTCACTGATTTCCGAATCGTTTCATTGCAAGTTGAAAAGTATTTTAGAGGCAGGAGTTGGATATATTTTATATGAATCCAAGCGTTGGGCATTTTAAATCTAGGTTTAAATCCTAGATAGAACCAAATTTTCATTTTTTTAATTATAAAACTATATTTTTGTTATTGAAGAAAAGAAATATGCATGACAGTACATTATTAAAAGTGAATTCCCAGATTTCCAAGAAAATAAGGGAATCAGGGTGTTTGGTTGTGTTTCTTTCTGATTTTGTTTTCTGATACATACACTTGGAATATTATCCTGATTACAGCAGCCCTCTGACAAAAGTCGATCACGTATTTCCCAAGCAAATATAGAAGGGCACTCTCTTTTGTAGTGAGCGATTTTTCCAACCACTTCCGGTGTGGCGACCCGCGGTTTGCTTCCACCAATGGCACGTGGTCGAATGGAACCCGTCTCATAGTAACGTCCTAGAATTTTGCTCACACAACCGTTGGATACCTGCAGGATGCGAGAAATGTCACATGGTCTAGCACCACTATGGGCAAGTTCTACAATTCTTTGCCTCGTGGAATCGGGCAGGGGACGGCCATTTACAAAGACACCGCCTAACTGGTTGACTCCACTGTGTCCTACAAAACCCAAAATATTGCTTCAGAAAAAAAATCAAAGCATGGCAAGCCAAAGGAAATTAGTATATATTCTTCAATGTGATTTTCTAAAAATACTAGTTGAAACGTTGAAAAATAAAACTTCAGCTATTTTCCGCATGTAAAGGAAATTATACGGAATTGTTCCGAGAAAATCGATAATTTGACAATATTATATTAACTTCATAGTTCGTTCAAAGCTCCATTCGACACAGATAAAATCACGTGACAAAATAAACAGAGTGTTCACTGTTTAAGTATACTGAACTTTTGCCATTTTTCTTCATCATTGCATGACTACTCCGAATCATTCTGGTAATTACACAAGTTGTGTTTTGTTTCCATGTGCGATGCAAGATATTTGATACTGATATCAAGAAATATTTTTTAAAAATAAGCTTAATCTCAGCAACAAGTTCCAGTACGACAATTTATTTAAAGGCTCAATAAAGAAATCACTTTTAAATAATTTACTTTTTACAAAAAAAGATTATCTAAATATTTCTATATTTTTATAATAACAGCTCCTATAATATATTTTTAAAAAGATACTACTACAAATTTGATTTTGTTCTTAATTATGTGAACAAATTATTAATATTGCTTTCATATAATTAAATATTTCAATTAAAAATATCGACAATGTTCAATCTTATCAGATGCACTACCCTTTTCCTCGTAGGATAGCCAAGGATAGGTAATGATGTCATTTGTAACGCAATCTAGAAACAAAATACGAAACATATATATTTTTGACTTCTTGTGTTGTACTTTAATATTATTACTAAACAATAAACAATGCAACTGCACTTAAAAGTATATATACAGATTTAGCACACCCCTGAAGCTATCAGGTGCAGATCTGAATTTCCGGTGTATTTGATTCTTTGTAAGCAATTACCAAACATGCAACAATGACATATTAGAAAATTAAGGTGCCTGTCGATTTGTGAACAAAAATATGTTATAAGATTTACAAATGAAATACTTTAGAAGTCAAACAGATAATCAAGTTTAAATGTTGTTTATAACAAATATTTTTAAGTTGAAAAGGGTTGAGTTTGGGTATCTTCGTTCACCCAACAAAACAACTACAGTCAAACATTCAACCTCAAAGGTCACTAGGCATACATAATAAGGCATTGTACTAAACAACTACTGTTGTAAACAGATAATAAGATAATTGTCAAAGGTTTATCTTTTTAAAATTGTAATCCCTTCAAATTTATCCAGTTGTATTATAGTTCCTCATATAAGAAACCATGTGTAAATTATAGGGTTACGATTTTTACGAGATTTTTAAGATGAGGTCGCTAGGTTCTAAGCACGCCTTCCATCAATTTGGACGTAGTAAAACTCCAAAGATATGAAATAATTCAGCAGAAGGTAGAATATTTTACAATTGAAAAGAAATTTATAAAATGTTACATAAAACTACAACCGAAAATTGATAGTGTCATTTCGTGGATGATATTCTTTAATTTACCATGGTGAAAATACCCACCCTTCTAATTTAATGAATGACCACACGTGCAGATTTCACTTGACAAAAATACAATTTTATGTACATTTGTCAAGACAAAAAAAACCGAAAAATTATGAATTCATGTCTTAACTGTCAAAACTTTCACAGTTTACAAGCGTTTTATGGCGAAGTGCTTAGAACTAGAATAGTTTAGCTGTCAACAGTGATTGTGTATGAACGAGCAGATTTTAAATGTCTCCGAGATGCAACCCAAGTGTTCTTTGGATTTATGAGGCATGTTAAAACAATCCAAGTCATGTTGTGTCCCTTCTACAGTCTAACGAGCCCCTCTTCTCACACGTCGGCGCTTTATCACTGTTTATTTTCATAGCTAGGGTCACCTCGATGAATCTTGCTTGACTTAACGCAAATTAATGGCTTGGAAAAAATCTTATTTTTGTCTTCCCGATATCAAAGAAAATTGTCATTTTAGGTTTTCTAATTAAACACAATATTAATGGTTTCTTCATATGGTCATTTTAAAATGCATATATTTCAAGACTTATCAAAATGATTCATTTTCCTTATGCTTTTTAAGAAAATCACACGCTTCCCATTTCTCTAATTAATTACAAATTATCACACATTTTGCAGACCAAAGAAATTTTAAACTGCAGTTCCAAAGCATTTTTTTGTTTTTACAATTTTCAAATGCATCTCTTTTGACAAAATGACCCGGCCCTATGCGAGGAACCTTTAAGTTTAGTAGTAACTGTTCCTCCACCAGACGCATGGGTTTAGCAAGTGGGGGTCAAGAGCCTTTTTGGTAAGACATAAAATTTAAGGTCTTGGGCTTTTTATTAGTTTTTCCTTAATTTCTACTACAGTTTTGATATCATAAAAAAGAAGATCTCTTTCAAGACGAAACGTTAAGGGCAAATTAGTGCATATTATAAAACAAAAACTTGGGGACAAATTTAGTCCATGTTTTACGGGGAACTTTATTCCGTATTAAACAGATAAATACACTGAAGCTTGCATTTAGACTGCAAGTAAATTAAATTTCCAACCCACATAACGACTTCTAATTTAAACTGAAGCTTTGCTCTAATTTTTTTTTTTCAGAATGCAACGGAAGAAGGTTCAGTAAGTGAATCCCTAAATTTTCTGACTTCGATGTCAATCTTAGAATATTTCTCAGAACTTGACAAGTATATTACCCGTGTGTTCAATTTACATCAACGGTAATTAAGAGAATGGGAGAAATTTTCATAGCAAAATCAAAGAAAATCTTAAAGGAACATTATCGAGTCATTGCATTGACTCGGCGTAATTAAGCGATCGAAAATATGAAAAAGTCCGGAGATAATGGATAAATGTCGGAGAATTATGAATTCCAGATAAACAGACAGCTTGAGAGACGACATGCCACGCCGACGAGACCACCGTAGCGATGAAATGGACCAGCAGTGATAACCCCAGTAACCCCAGACCAAGGCCCGTCACCACGGCCATTACTAGATGACGTTGCCGCAGGGAATGATGGGATACGGCAAGACAGGGCCAAATAAATTGTTTCCGTTCAGCTGCGCAACTTGCCATCCTAAATCAGAGGGCAGCATGGTTTTATTTTGAACACTGCTGGTGTTGGGGCGTAAAACCGTTGACATGTTTGTTGCTTAAATTTATTCTCAGGTAACTAGAAAGGTGCGATTTTAGCGTTATATCATCACAGTATATGTTTTAGGTGGTGCAAAAAGGTTCAGATTTAATGGCGTTGAATATGTAATAAAATGTCTGTTTTTTCACACTGTATATGGGCTAAAATATAAAAAGAAGGGAAACGGCTTACCAAAAGGAAACCAGAGATTATATCCAGGTGCCTCTCTGTGAACTATATATTTATGGCCATGTGACAGGTCTAGCTTGCTTTTCATTTTTTCAAACTCTACGAACTTCATCTATGATTCTTTATTCTTTTATCAAATATTATCGTAACAATTTTAGAAAATATGCAATTATGTTCATGACAACGAACCAAAGGACTTTGAACAGCCACCAGAGGGAAAAAGACATTTTCATAGAACGTGTATGTTCACCTAGCTGGTGATTCAGAATAACTTTTTTTTCATGACTACCAACATAATTGATTCATATCACTAGTTCCAATGAGAAAAAATAAAGAACTTCGAACAAGGGAAGAAATTTTTGACAAATAACGTAATTGTTTTTCATAGCTTTGTTTCGAGAATGCCTCACACCGCACATGACATGTGAAAATCATAAGAAAGCTTACTAACTCCCTGTAGTTATCGAGTTTCAGTCTTTCTTTGTCCCTAGCATTCGTGCCCACATTTGCAGTGCAGTTACAATGCATACCAATCAAATGTAAATGGCACGCAAAACGCGTAATAGGGGTTAGTGGAACAATGCCATAGCCTACCTTAAAACTCGGTCATCTGTTTTGGTTATCTAAAGTAACCTATTTATTGTTTCATCAATTTAAATGGATTTTTATGCTATGTAATAAAGAATTCTTATGGCTGTTACTCAATTTCTTCTTCTCCCTTCAATAATCATTGCCAAACATTCCAAGGTCTTAAAATACTATAATTATGATTGACTTACGGCTAGCAATTCGAAACCATTTAGCAAAATGTGTTTGGATAACTCATTTTAAATGCAAAAATTGAACAATGAGTAGCACAGTTTGATGCAGAAATGTTCTAATACACGGGCATAGCTATGCGTTTTTATAAGAAGAAATCGGATAGCAGTAATCAAATCCACCCAGACCAGGAACTTCCATTGATATCCCCGTCTGTAACAAGTTTGCTGCAAGGGAAATTTAACGAAAGCTAATAAGCGTCTTACCGACAAGGTGTCATGCAATCTTCATCACTTCGATGCTTCTCTTTACTTATTTTTAATGGCCACCCCTATTTCAATCACGGCTAATTTACACCAGATTTATAATATTTCTTTGCTAAGTGTGTTTATATTTCTTTAAAAAACTGTTGTCATTCTTGCAAAAAGAGTAAGATAATACAGGCCATTAGACTTTTGAAAATCATTTAAAGAGTCATATGTACAAGATACTTTGGGAGCCAGCAAGAGTTTTGATGACCACCAAGAGAGATTTTTTAAACCAGAATTACATCCTACATCGTTGATCAGGTTTTAAATTGGAGAAACGACGATGAATTCTTGATACAGTGGTCTTTGATCGAAGACCGAGTACAGATGTGCATTGGAAAACAATTTCAACACATTATCCAAAACAAGAGATCGAATGATATAAAGCCAGGAGAGGGATTAAAAAGCGAGATTTCAAGAATATCTTCCACGCAGGAAACGTCATTGAAAAACAGCAAACAAAACCATTAGACAAACTGGAAACATGCGTCTTTGCAATCACGAGGGAAATCAAAGAAAATACCGGGTGATTAAAGAGACGTTCAAGTTCTTGGTACCAGCTACGTAAAGTTGTAAATTATACTTGTGACTTAATTATTAATTTTGAAAATCTAGACTAATCTATGTGAAAATTTCAGCGTTCCTTAAAAACCATCCTCAAACAAGCACGTTTATATATACATTGTAATATCATGACTAAAATTTTCTTTTCATTGTGTTTTTGTTCTCTCTTATCGCAGTTTTTTAGTACAAGTATGCATTCATGATCGTTTTTATTTTGGGAGTTTTGCAGATTTTTTTCTTCTTCAGATTTACACATTTTACCCCCGATTTCGATATGATGTAGTTGACATCATTTAAAGATAAGCATACATTAGTAATAAATGAAAGTGAACTTTATAATTCAATAATTGTTAAGAATATATATCTGATACACTGATCTGATCAATACTTGTCATTTGCAAATGTACCAAAAGCTTTTTTTTGTTTTTTTCCCCTTTATTATACATGTATATCTGCAAGGTTCTATTTGTTATCTTTTATAATTTTTTATTGTGTGCATTTCTTAAACATAATGACCAGTATAGCCTCGAAAGGAACTTTTAGAAGAAAAATCGAAATGATTTTATTGGTTACCCTATTTCAACATACATATAAAACATTTACCTTAGTAAAAATTGACAATTTTCTTTTGTTTTGGAACAATCTGCAAAACACTTTTGAAACATTCAACCAAGAATGTAAAATTAAACGTGGAGAACGTGTGATCGTTTATTTATATATACAATAAGCTTTCCGATTCTTAATGGATTCATGCTAACAAGAAAAAATCTTTCCTTTATAAACCACTATCATAATTTTTTTCAAGGAGTAGAAAATACATTTTGAAACATTTTTAAGGGCAATTTTTGAAGGAAAAAATTTAAAAGAGCAGAAAAAATATTACATAGGTTAAGAATAAATAATAAAAGGAAATGGATGTCTGTACTGACATATATTTTTGGACCTATTTTGGTTGTAAAATAGGCAAATATCAAATTTCTAAAATATTGAGAAATTTTTAAAATCTAGAAATTCATCTTCTTAATTTTTTGCTATTATAAGTTTACACAACTTTTTTTCATTATATGGGACATTCTTGTAAAATTTTGAATGGAAATTAAAAATTTATTAGGTAAAACTTGTATTAATAACATTAAATATATAAATGATTTTGTTCTATTTTCATGGTTTTTGAAAAATAAACTTTGTATACTTCGTCCTGAAAAATACTTTCAGTAACAGTGATAGAAACCATTGTTTTGTGTATATCTTGGTTTATCAATAGAATATTCTAAATGTTCTGCTCGCACTGTCTCCATTACTAGCTTAGAAGGCTCCAAAAGTCGGATATAAATTACTGTAATTACTACAGTTGATGAGAAAAATTGACTGAAAGAGGAATCAGAGATGTATCTCTATCGTAAAAAAGACGATATGTCTGTTCATCTGAAGCAGTTCTTTTATTTATTTTGCAAAAATAAAGAAATGCTGCTTCATTTTGGATCCAAATCCCATTGAGAGAAGTATTGATGAATATATACTCTATATTTGGAGGTTTTGAATGTTTTTTTTTATTTTTTGATTAAGATATGCCTACCTCGTTTTTGTCTTGATTTTCTAGAATTTGGACTATCCACATCCGGGCTTCCAACAGAATTACTATTGTCGTCGTCTGAAAAAAGAGGTTCAAATATTTAAGAAACGTTTCAAAAATGGATTTAAATTTATTTTAAGTGCAAAGGAGTTGTCCCCTCTTCCTTTAAAAAACAGTTATTTAAATCAAACTCTTAGGTGCAAATTAAAGATTATGCAGAAAAAAATATATGAGAAAAATATCAAAGAAATTCGGTAAGCTAATTAATTAAAATGTCTGGATTTGAAAACCATTAACATGAAAATTTCCGGCAGATCTGCGTTTCGTATTGAAGATGTAATATTATATACAAATCTACTACATAGTAAGTTCCTTTGAACAGACAAACGAGCTAGTCATTAAAAACGGTGTCTCGAGAAACATGAAAACGCTTATGAAATCCTGATTTGACAAATACTGTCCATTTTATCATTTTTCTGAATGTCAGGTCTTCGTTTATTTTTAACCTTTGCTTCATCTTGCTTGTGTGTCAGGAGTAAACAAGAAATTGGACTTGTTCGGGGGGAATGCAGTGCTTTTCGTTTTTGTTTCATGTACAATGCCAGAATGAAGTTTTTAGCATCGCAGATGTCATCCCTGTCATACCAGTACATGTTTTTTTGCCATCACTTGATAATATAAAATATCTACAGGACATCAAGACTTGGAAAAAAAAATCTTTAAATAGCTGCAATCGTTTTGCAGTAAGCACATAGCTCTTATTTCTGTCTATTTATCATAACTATTGGTTATGGTAACCAGATATAATTAAATCAATTCGAGTGATTAACTCCATTTTACATGCCTAGATAGCTTTCACAGTTTTTGTTTGCAAATTTCTGTACGTAAATCGAAGATGAAAACATAAACAAAACTGAGAGAAAAAGATGCTGAAGGACTAAAACGGCCGAAAATTCTTTGTTCGGATTAGGGAAACTAAGAATCAAATAAAACATGGTTTATAGGACTAAAGCGACGCTACAGAGCAGGATTGAGACTAAGTCCCGAGCTTTATGTGTAATTATATAGGCCTTAGTTGTAGAAATAATCAAAATGCAAAAGAAATAAACACTATGAACGACGAAATCCTCTGGCTGACAGACCCATGCATTTGTTCTCGAAAGTCGGACTTAACGGACAAGAGAGATAGAGGGGTCCCGGAGACCAAGAACAAATTGTCGGATCATCTCTGATTGTATCGCTTAGATTTATCGTCTTGCTTCTTCTACAGGATGAAGTTTTACTGTTCACAGATATTTGATGCTCATTATGCTTTCATGACATCTCATATAAAAGGCTAAAGGCAACATCTTGATTCACGGCATTACAGCTCATAAAAATCTTGCTTTGATAATATTTGTTAAAGAAATTATTTACGTTGCTCATTATTTTTTTTGAATATTAAAATTGAATTTTTTTCATGATATTATTTCTTGAAGAAATTGTGTATATCGAGGATTTTTATGCAACGTTTAAAATATTTTCAAAAAATTATAACTATTCCATAAATAATTCTCCAATGATTTATTCTTAGAGGTTTTTTTAAACAACTCTATTTATTTAAGGTTTAATTCAAAATTCTCCTCCACTGAGTATAGAGCAATTATATATTTTTATTTTCATCAGTTCTGTAAATATTGTCAGAATTCAAATGACAGAAAATAAAACAATATCTTTAAACTGTAAACAAAAGAAAGATAAAAATAACTTCACCTCATGCCGCATATTGATTGAAAAAAAGTATCTTATCATTTTATAGATTCTTATTATGTAACCTACCTTTCGACGGCATCGTTTCTTCCTTGAGCGAGGATGTCATACGTTTTCCCTGTTACATTCGTCTTGAAAACACTGTGATCCCGGAAAAGCAAAATTGTCTAAATCCTGTTTTCCCCACAAGCCTTTCTGACTGAAACAACAGAACATGAACCTCAGTTGCAAAACTAATCCCTCATGCAGTTATCATTTGCCAGGATCCTATTCTGCTTTGCTAAAAACTAAGTTAAGAACTTAAAGATTTGTTGACATTTTTGTTAAGTTTTTAAATTTTTCGGTCAACAGAAACTAGTCCATGTAATTGTCTTTCGGTAATGTAGATCCTATAGTGTTATAGAGGGCACCAAAGTGGAAGGACCCAATCTGGGGAAAAACTAAATCACGGAGTCTAATCAGGCATTTAGACAGACCCAGCGCCTGGAAAATGCCTCCGTGCACATGTATCAAAGAAGGATGCAAACAATTGGTTCCAGATCGCACACCTCTATGAAAAAAGTCCGTAACGGTTAATTTGTTCCACTACACAATATACACACCAATTAACCCGTAGTAACTACAATGATCCCAAATTTTCTAGACACCCTAAGATATTTCAATCGTTCTAAATCATATCATACAGTTGAGCGGTGACCGTCAGTTTATATGTATATCCCAATAAGCCCTCATTTGGATATTTTAATGGTTTTGAACGAGCGAGTTAAAAGGCCGAACAGCACCCACTGAATCGCGGCATCTGATTGGTCATCGACTTGTCACTGGCGCGGAACAGTCAATCAAACTGTTTTTTACTTAGTAAGGCCGAACCAAAAAGCTCCAATGAGTAAATATGTTTTCCTGTTCGTGTTTTGTGATTGTATTTTGTTTCAAAGGCCATTTCGTGTTAGTAATCATAAATCACCCAACCTTTTCTCTATACACTGTGAATTGTTATTGAAGATTGTATATAATAGGCAGAGAGGAAAACTTCTGACTTTATAGAGATCTGGGGGCTTGCATTGGTAATCTTAACTTCACTTCTATGCAGTGTTCGGTGTTAAATTGCAGGAATATGCCGTAATAAGGGTCTTGTCAATACTGTTTTCCTTCGGTATATGAATCGGGTATAGCTTACACATGATGCAGCCTGGCATGAAATTGCATTTAACATGTTTAATGAACATACACCAGTAACAAACGCATTTGTGACCCTATAAAACGTTATAGAGAACAATTACAAGTAGCTTGCAATTGCTTACTGTATCAAATCTTGCGTTATAATTAATCTCATTTAAAACGCTTACATTCATAAATTCAGATATTCCATGAAATGTCGAGTTGGCTTAAGGATTTATTTACAAAACGAATCAAATTTTTGTTTATATTGGAGGTTAATGTTACAGTGGGCAAAAACAACTGTTGGGCTTTATTATGAAAGTGGAATAACTTAAATCTTCTCAGATAAATTGCTATTTCATTGATATCCGGTGAATGCTTTGTATATAAATACTGTACGTCTCCGTTCCCCCCTGCGCAAGGAAAAATAACAAATTCAAACCAAGGACATGGGTATAAAGGGGAGAAAGAAAAGTGAATTTCTTTAGACTAATCTTCGTAGATGCCACAATAGTTCACTGTAAGTTTTTTGTCAATTAGACAAGCACTTGAAGATAAAACCTACTTTAATCCATGCTTCTGAGGGGTGATATATGAAAAGATTTTACCTCCAAGTCAATGCTCTGAATGGCTCACAATTTTTCTGTCATTTTTCTTCCTCAGTGTATATATGTCAGGGAAACATGGTTTTTGCCTTCCAACACAAATTCTTTCCCCTCGTGTCAGTTTTACAAATGGACTTGAAATACTTTTTTCTCTTTGCACTTAATAATAAAGAGAAAATGTTCGCAAAGATTAATTAATAAATTTGCCGTCAAGTTTGAATTCCTATACTTAACACTTTCCAACGGAAGGTTTTTATATCAACTCGAAAAGTATTTTATCACAATTATATTTGCTGTGATGACAAAATTGAAAAATTATAATTAATGTTTTATTTTCATATTGTTCACTGATTAACAGCTTTCTTATTTTTTAGAGATGGCAATCGTTTAACCTTCGATAGTTATTTAATAAATCTGCTACACAAATTTTGTCAAATTAGTTCAACTTTTGAATCTTTGTAGATCTATTACAAAATAAACGATATCATCATCATTTACATGCATATCTGGCTGGATCACGTAAAAACCCGCGATATTTGACACGAGGAACGCGAAAAGATACAGCAAAAGCGACAAAAGGTTACATATGCCCGCGGGATGACCATGATCTAATGGGATTACGTCATATGAAGATACGTATCGTCCTGTCCGGTCATAGCAATGCAGTACCAGTGAATTTTGCCAAAAAGACCAAGTGTGTCTTAATTAGAAAAACACGGGTACCATTGTGATTTGTTTATTTTGGAGGAAACGACTGACACGTCTATCCGCAACAACTGAGAGAAAACTATGATAAACGATTTTGACATTCCGAGCCCGAGGCATAGAAACATCCAATGAAGTTCTCTGTATTATTTGAACGCAGTTCGTTTTTTGTGTCGATTTCAATTCATTTTATATCAACTGTCGCGGCATTCATGTCTTCATTCCAATGCACAGGAAGCAGAACAAATTTAAAATGTTGATTAATTTAAGAAACCCCTCCAGCTCTCGGATTGCGTCTTGGTTTTTTCTTCTTTTCTCGGCAAATTATCTCGATTTCATTGACGCAACTTTCGTCTCAAAATCGTATTGATCCCAGAAACTGTATTCAAAAGGTCTGCTACTTTTATAGAGTGACAAGCTCTTAATTTATATTTACATGGTAATTGAACATTATACCCATTAAGGAGGAGAAGCACTCGCACACAAATACTTATTGATTTAACGTATATTGTTAATTTCATTAAAATTCTAAAGGGAATTTGAGCAGATTTTCGCGTCAAGTGCTTTAATCTCCTATAAGCTGCTTATCTCAGATAGTATGTTGTTCTCAAATAAGTAATTCCTTAAATAAGAATATACCTTAGTCTGGAGGCAATGAAATGGTAATAAAAGGTAAAAGGAAACGGAAACGAATCTGTGTAGAGGCATTTTCCAAGGTATATCATCCCATCGGACCCTCCCGGGCATTTACGTTATCTCTAACTACATCACATACATACAAGGAATCTCTAGGTTTATCATTTTTGAAAGAAATGATATCTGTAATATGTGTTACATGAAAAAAAACTTGAATTCAATTACACATTTTAAAAATTAAAGCTATTTCATTTTTTTACAATAAACTTGTGTTTGTTTATCAAATTTTGAGATAATTGCTAGTAATGTTAAGCAAGAAATATACCTGTTCATTTTTCGGATAACTATTTAGAATTCTTTCTTTTAAATTCCATATTGTACATATAGCTCGAGTTCTTTAAAAAATTAATATGCATTTTATGATCTTATTTAAATTAAAACTAAAGTAAACTATCGAGGGTCAGATTTTGACAATTTTACATTGACTCTTTAAGGTTAGAACGCCACTTCACAACCCAAAGTTGATTTTAATCCGCCTTAAGAGGTAGTCCATCATTATCACTGTCTGATTAGATCTTTATTAGTGGACATTTGTCGATTTCATGCCTGGTAAATCTCATACACTTTTACCTGTGCCCAAGCTTCTCGGATTAAGGCACATGAAACAGAAAGCTGGGATCCCTGGGGTTTCCCTGATCATCAGATAAGGGTCGGGACGATGTGTATTGCCCGGTGAGCTGTTCGATATTTATCAGGACATATTTTACTTATTGCTCGCTTAAGCTCGATTTGTCATCATTTTCCACTTCATTATTTTGTGTAATTATTTTGAATTAGTCTATATTCATTTGAAAAAAATTGCATGTAATGGTGTAATTGATAATATAGTGAAGGAAATATACTTTTTTTTAATTACTGGATCTCCTGTATAGTTTATTTTTATTTACTTTTACATTTATTATTGTAAATTTAATAAGAAAACAGAAAAACATATAACATTTCATCTGTTTGTTCTTTTATTTTCCTGAAATTAAGTAGAAGAAATGTAAATAAACTGTTTTTGTTTTGAAATAAATAAACTTTGAAAAAATAAAACACACTAATTTTTTATATAAAGTATAAAAATTCATGAATAATTGCATTTACATATGGTATATGTTCATATCTTTAAAATCAATTCGAAGTCGTAAATTTCTTTTTTCAAAATATTCAGAAATCGTTTTTATTTCGAAAAAAAAAAATATTTAAAATTACCAACTTATATTTAAGATAGATTCCCCATGGCTTTACATATAATTTAAAATAAGGAATTTTTAAAAATATAAAGGAATGATAGTTTTAAAAAAATTTATAAACAAATAGTGTTTGAAATTAATAATAAAAACAGTTGACGTACACGTACATTGAAAAATGTCATGTGCAAAATAAAATACAATTATTCCGCGAGTTTATATATTGTATTTTGCTTAGAAAATATGTTTTATATTTAAGAAAATATATATTTATTAAATTCAAGAATTAAATGTCAGTACACTGAATAAAATTTTTGTTACATTTTGTAGAAAATATAATTTTAACACATAGATTTCTTTCATGAAAAAAAATACTGGCATGGAAAAATTGTTTCATAACACAGAAAATATTTTGTAAAAAAAAAAAATAATTAAACAAAAAACAAAACAAAGATATTTTCGTCCAGTGAGTGTCTGTATTCATGTCCTGGACACCAGGAGCATTAACAGCAAAAAAGGAGGGTAATTAGTAAATGTCTGACCTTGGTCCGATTCAACCTAACCCCAATCAGTTAATGTCGGAAAAGCCTCCGAAACCTTAGCACCATTATACAGTAAAAGTCGAGAAATCTGTGTCCTGCTCAGAAAATATTTTTACGAGAAAACATTAATTTAAGAAAGCGGTAGGTACTTTTTTCTTATTCGTGTGATTCATTTTTTACGCACCTGGCTAACTCACTTCAGAAGAAATATTAATTACAAATTTATGCAAATCATGGGTCATGATATTTCTTCGCTAAGTGGCCGTTGCTAATAGCCCAACATGTCGAATTAATTTGTAAGAAAAATGCAAGACATACCTGGAAATAATTTGACCTGGGCAGTGGTCGTATTTTTGTTTTTCCAAATGAGTACCCCGCCTGACCAATGCAGCGAGGAAATTCGGATATCCGCTGTGATTTGATTTGCTTGTGTTCAGTCCGCTGCACTGATGCAATTGGCGCGGACAACTTCGCACGTGCGGTCTTTCTTGACGTATCAACCTGTAATCCAAATGTCAGACCAAAGCTTTCGTCCGGAAAATCAAGAAATGTTTATCTAATTATTATATAAACTTGGCCAATTTCACTAAAACAACATTTTCCCACTGTGTGCAAATGAAAGAAGTGTAAATTGTAGGAGCAGTTTTATGCTGGGATACACAGTATCGAGTATGACCATGTCCGAGTTTTCCGGGACGATTGCTTTTCCACTATTTTGTCTATTATAAACGCCTGATTAAAAACTTGCACCTCTGGAAAAAGTTTCTCCTTTAAACCATGAAGTTCCATAAGCTCAGCGAATACCCACAGAAGGGGGCGGAGCTAAGTTTTAAACCACACTATGGATTAATGTCCAACTT